CTTCACTGCGCAATCAAAGAGAAAACAAGAACAGCAAGATGAAGGGCACGGCGAACAGGATGCGTTTGGGAAAGCCGATGTCGGTGATCAACGTCTTCGATGGTATTTGGTCACGGAGCTCAGCAAGTTTATCTGTGAACTTTGCGCTAGAGAGATGCAGGTGAGCAAGTCGAAGGTGCTCGGACCAAACTCGAAGTTCAATCCCACTTCTTGCGTGAACTGTTGCGCGAACTGGAATGCGGACGCGAACGGTATTGCGAGGTCTATCGAAGGGAAGAAGCTGTACACGCGCCTCTTCGCGGAATGCGTGGTTGCAATCCCTGACCTTCAAAACCTCATGGTGGACGTCAACAACATCCAGGCCATGATCACGATTATACGGGAGCTCGCGTATTCTAAACTGAAGAAGGAGCTTTCCCACGTGGGCTTCGTGAGCATGACAGTGGATCAAGCAGCACAGTTCTACAACAACGGTCACGGGAAGCAATTGTGTGCATCCCGGGATGTGATCGTGTGCAAGAATTCCGAGGGAGTCGAGGAGAGAATGTCCATCTTCATGATAGACAAGGATCTCGGCAACGTGGCCTATTCCTCCTGGATCAAGAGCGTGCTCGACCAAGGGACGATGTATGAACTCCTGGGACAAACCTCAAACGAGGAATCCTTGGGAGACGTCGTCGAGATGGTATTGGGATTCTTTGAGGTGATGTCGTACTTTCAGCACGAACTACCACTGTGGAAGGATGTGTGGAAGATCAAGAGGGAGTTCGAGCAGTCAATAGTACGACACCTCGCCGGGAACGTGACCCACACGACGGGCCAGAACCGAAAGCGGAACAAACCTTCCGCGCAACTCGGGGCGCCCACGAAAGAAGTGCTGGACATCATGAACAAGGCTAAGCCCAGACACCCGCGATCCCTGATAACCGAGCCTGCTGCCCAAGGGTCCAAGAGGAAGGCAACGGAGGGCGAAGGTGACGGTCTTGGTCAAGCACCAGACCCGAGCCGAAGCTCTCAGCCCAACGCTGAGAAGGAAGAGAAGAAGCAGCGAGTGATCGATGGGCGGAGAGCGGCACTAGGATTCCTGGAGTCAATGGAGAAGTGCATGGGAGAAATGGGAATCTGCAAGAAGTGCGCGAACCTGGCCCACGACGGCGACTGCAAAGACATTGAGGAGGCTGCTGGCAACGAGAAAGCGATGAAGATGCTCCGTAAGCTACTCAGCAGTGATCCCGTGTCATCGGATGAAGATATGGGGGATACGGAAGAACCGCCCTCATCAACGTCCAAAGAGAGAAAGAGAGGAGGACAAGCAGGGAAAGAAACAATTGAGATGTATAGCTATACCATCAACTTGGTGGAGATGGCTGACACGGCTGAGGGAGGAGAGCTACAATGTGGTGGCGTGGACCTCACCTACAACCCGTGCGGGGACAACAGGACATTCAAGAAGACGCTTGAGATGGGATGCGACACCATCCCGTGCTACATCCCGAAGTACGGCGACGTGAGTGATGTGCACTTGCCATGGGCGTATGCGTCCATCGTTGACCCCAGATACTTTCCCAAAGGTGCCATCCTTGAGCAGGTGGACGTGATGCAGCTTGGCAAGAGTGTCAACTTCTGCGTTGCTCCTTTTGACGGTGCCCCACTATGCAGGATTGGCGATGATCGCTCGGTATTTGCTACGAAAGACCAAGCAAACCAGCTATCTCACGACCTATGCAGAGTCCTTCGACACAAGATCGGCAGCTGCCGAGGAAGTGCTTTCAGGTGCGACGAAGGTGGATGGGTCGACATTGATGCAGTCATTGACGACCGGAACAACGACATATTCCCACCAGGCACCTCGAGAGCGAAGCGATACATGGGCATCATGGAGGTGATCAAGTGGCAGGAATCTGGAAGCAAGAAATCGAGATTTCAGGTCCTGGCAGCAAGGTTTCCAAGCATCATGAACCCGAACGACACCAGGGCGGCTAGGGAGGAGATGACCAAAGCTGGCATGGATCGGGACGACATCGACAGGATGTTCAACAGATGCGATGGATGGTACAGGCCTTGGTGCATCCGAGTCACAACTGGTCACAGTGATTTTGGATTCATGAGCTCATCCGCACTGGCAAATAGGTATTCCGCAAGGATGGTTGATTCTCTCGGAGGAGCATTCCATGTGACGTATGTGGAAAATCTGCCAAGCATCGTACGCTGTGGGTTAGTCCCCGGCGGAATCGATGGCGGTAACAGGCTAGCGCTGCACTTCGGAGCGTTCGCTCCATGGGATGAGATGAACGTGGCGACGAAGGTGACGCTACGGAACGTAAGGAAGGGGGACCCGATTGCGATCATCTACATTCCCAGTGCGACCCTCGCGCGGTATGGAGCTGGAGTCGCGGCAAATGGGACTTTCATGGTCTTTGACGTGATCCCGTTCTATGAGGTCAAGTCCATTTGGATTGGCAAAAGCAACGGAGGGAAACGCCTGGAGTACGTTGATGTCAAGAGAGCGTACTCGAAGTGTGTGGAGAACGAGAACTGCCCTGGCTTCGTCAACTCATCCCAAGAGTCGGCTGCGATGTTCCTCCAGAACGTCACAAAGATCAGCGAGAGGATGCCCGAGACCGAGACAGGTGCCGATAATCTGCACTACATCAGGGACATGGTTGATCGTGCATGCGAACTCTATCGGAACAACAAGATGGAGGAGTTCAATGCGCAGGTCAACGAGGTCAGGGACGAAATCAGCAAAGTCGTCATCCTGAATGATGAGACATGGGAAGGACTGAGATGCCGGATATGTCCATCATGTGCGACCGCGATCCCCACCTGCTTCTGCTTATGCCTGGAATGCGAGGCGCAACTGATCTCCACCGGGAGGTACTACATCCACGTCAACTCCGACGATGAGGAGGACAATCAAAACCCCAACGTCTCGGGAGATGCCAAGCGCGCACAGGAAGAAGCCAACCACGATGCGGCGGCACAGGAGGATGATGACGAAGCGGAGGAAGTTCCGGGGGAAGAAGACGACATGGACACGCAAGGATATACATCCGGATATGCGTCAGAAGAGGATGACAGCGGTTGGTATTACCGCGACACTGA